CTGGTGAGCAGCAAGACAAGTATTAACTGTCCATGGTTGAAGGACAGCTACAAGGTTTTAATTTTGATGCCGTAGGTCTCTTGTGACAGCTCTGCTGTTGCACTTCCGTTCCCTGGGATTATAGTATTGGTAAGAGTATCCTTATCGACAAATTATGCTTCAGTACTTAGAGTACATTACAGTACAGGAGGCTTTTGTTGGAGGGGGAGCTCCTCTTTAAGTAGGGAGGCATTAGTTCTGTCTCCATCTGACATCACCTGTAATTTTACATTATAGATATAGCTATTACTCTGGAATTTGATATCCTTTAAAGGTGGAGCCCAAACATCTCTCTTGTCAACACAGATGTTGTCCTCTAGAAGAACAGTGAAGTCACTCAGAACAGTAATGTTTAAAGTCCATTAGTAGATGAGAAAAATACAGACAATGTAAAAAATGTTTGTTGCAACCAAGTATAATGTGTGTTGCAACACACTATACTCACCTTTTATGGGATACTCGGTATTGAAGAGCATGGGAGCTGCTCTTGCCTCAGATTTGATAAAAGCAGAAGAAAAATTTCTCACTTAAATTTTGAGACTTGGTGCAAACCAGAGCAGTTAAAAGTAAGCATGTTGCAGTAACGTTCTTGCATTATCTTCCAGTACACAATCAAGCAGGTCTTTAGTAACAGCCTTGCAACAGGCACTCAAATAGTTATGTAAAATATTCCTATATAGTGTTGGATAGAAAGAATGCTTCAAAATTGTGTTTCTGGTCTCAGCAAGGGACTGGTGAGAGACGGCCGGTAGAACACAGCAAAAATAGAAGTTCTGTCCTGTTGTAGACTTTTGATGTTATACTGGCAGTACAGTACTGCCCATGCATTTACCATGTTGGGCTTACATCATATGGTCAGAGTTCAATCTTTCCTTGTGAAGTATTGGAGGTAGTGTACAACTGAACTGTGGGAGCAGGAACTGAAAACTGGTTGAGCTCCCAACTTCCAGAAGAAGCCATGCTGCTTCTGGTTTTTACTCAGTCAGTCAATTGTTTATTCTTTCTACTCTCTGGCTTGGACTCAATGGGAATGATATCGAATTAACTTGTATCCTACCCACCCAGCTAGCTGGCATCACTCCTTGTGTACCAAACTACTTTCATACGTCTTCATTCAAACCTGTACTGTTAATATCTGTTTTGCAGGTTTAAAAAAACCTCAAATGTTTGCACATTTAAGTATTTTCTTTCTAAATCTTTTTTTTTTCTTTTTTAGTGTCTACATTGAACTTAAAATCATAAATAAGTTATTAATTATCTTCATTTATACTATGGTCTACGAGCAAAGAAAGTTAGACATTGTGGTCTTCCAGCCAGGAAGTAATTTTCTGTTATGTAAAAACTGGGATGAAAGGAAGAGGAATTGGTGAGGTGTTACATCCTATCAGTGTAAACATCCTATTAATATTAGGAGAAACTTCTGAACAATGTAGGACATAGACTCAATTCTCTTTTGCTGTGGATTCCACCACCAACGGATAGTTCTTTTTCGTGTCTGTTGATGGCATCATTCATTTCATATGTGATCCATTTTAAAGAGCTTTATTTTTTTAATCAAAATATCAAGTGGTATTTGTAATGTACTTTCATAATCCCCATAGACCAGCTTAATGTTGGGCAGTTCCCAAGAGTGGTTTTGCTTGTGCCAGCATTTTTACAGTTACCCTGTTCTCAGGGAGCCAGCTAATCCTGTTGGAGACCAGGCTGTCAGTGAGAACACACAGCAAGGGCCTGGTGGAAGGGCAAGTTCCAAGTTGCAGCTCACATGTGTCTTAAAATGACTCTTCGAAAAGCCCCTAGTAAAACTGTATGTGCATGACATCTGCACAACTGTTAAACCTCTAATTTCCTTAAAGAATAGAGGTGGATTTGTGTACAAATCCTGTTTCCCACAAAATTATAATGAGTGGTATCAGTTGCCTTTGTCATCCACCAGCTTCTCCCTAATCTTGTCAGTGATTTATCTAGCTGCTGAGTCTGCAGCTAGGAGATTTTGGAATAATCTCAAATCTTTTCCAGTCCTCTGGATTTCCCTAGTCTTTCACAAGTTACTAAAAATGAGTATCAGGGGCCAGAGGGAATTTCAGGTGTTTTTTAAAAGAATGTTGGGTACAAGAAGATACCTGGATTTTTTGTTCTTAAAATGTCGGTAAGTTATATGATCTCTTGATCACCAGGTTCCTGTCAGCAGTCAACGTATCCAAATGACCCATACAGGGGTCATTATTGGTATATTTACTATGGGTATGGACTTTTTATCTGCAATTTTAATCCAGTTTTGCAGTCAGCTGTGGTATGTGTTCTCAGTCTGAAGCCCCCATAACAATGCAAAGTCCACTTGCTCCCTTCACTCTCTGTTGCAGGCTGAACAAGTAATTCCAACTGCTGCTCAGTGTTACTGATTCAGTAGCCTGAGGCAAGCCCTTAACATTGCGTTCTCCTGGGCTCTGTCAGCACAGGTTGCTTCACATGCATTTGGGATTTGTAGGCCTTGCTCTTATCAGCAACTTCAAACAATAACTTCTTTACTACAGAGTAGCACCACGCCATCAGCTGTATCCTTGTTAAACACCTTCTAAACAAGGATTTAAAGATCTGAATCATGCAGACTATTTCTTTCATATTATCGGTGAAATATCTGTTCAGTGACAATTTCCAGATCTTCTGTATCTTCGTTAGGCATTAGTTATCAGGTTATAAACAATTCTATATTAATTCTTGTGACGTTCTTCATCACATTGGTTACATTTCAAGCTCCTAGTTTACTGTCCTTCCAGCTTGTGCTCTACCTGTGAAACTGTCTATCTCAACGCATGAATTTTTGCACTTTTACCCTTCCAATTCTCTCCCCCATCCCACTGCAGCGGGGAGAGAGCGAGCAGCTATGTGGTGCGCAGCTGCCTATGGGGGTTAAACCATGACACTCGTTTTTGGTGCCCCATGTGGAGTTCAAAGGATTTGAGATAAGGACAGATTTGTGTGAGTGTCCTGATTTCATCTGGGATAGAGTTAATTTTCCTAGTAGCTGGTACAGTACTGTGTTTTGGCTTTAGTCCGAGAACAGTGCTGGTAACACACGAATGTTTTAGTTGTTGCTACATAGTGCTTACCCTGATCAAGGTCTGTTCGGTCTCTCATGCTCTGCCAGTGAAGAGGGGTGCAGGAAGCCAGGAGGAAGCAGACAGGACACCTGACCCAAACTGGCCAAAGGGGTATTCCATACCACAGCACGTCATGCCCAGTATATAAACTGGGGGTAGATGGCCAGGACAGGCTGATCGCTACTGGGCGTTGTGTGGTGAGTGGTGAGCAATTGCATTGGGCATCACCTGGGTTTTTCATTGAGTTTTATTGCTCTCTTTCTTTATTTCCTATTATTATTAATGTATTACTATATTTTATTTCAATTATTAAACTGTTCTTATCTCAATCCACAAATTTTAGCTTTTTTTCTGATTGTCCTCCCCATCCCACTGGGGTGGGGAGCATGAGCTGTGAACTGGTGGTTGCCTGGTACTTAGTTGCCAGCTGGTGTTAAACCACGACAGTGAGACCAAATTTATAGCTGTTGCAGATACTCATCAGCAAGGCTTGCTTGCCTTACCACATGTTAGAGTCTGGGG